AAAGACTTGAGAAATAATTATTCCTCTTGTTGTTGCAGCTCTAAAATGCCGTTTAAGTAGTGTTTTTAGACCCAAACTATGTGCCGTGACTTTTTTAATAAGGTGAAGAGTTTTGATAAGAAGTTGCTTAATGCAAATTTAATGATACAGTATACAACCACAGATCTGATTTGGTTTACTGAAAAATTATTTGTACATGTATTTTCACTTAATACTTGAATATATCTCTTGGGTCATAAACTCTGGTTAAATATAGCTCAATACCTTATTAATGATGTATTTTCTGTATTAACAGGTGCAGGTTGGTGGCAGACTTAGATTTTAAGATCTTTTAAATGCATTATTTGTGTTTCAAAACGATTATAATAAATCCTGAATTATAATTGCATTTTCATCACTAGCCGGGTCTAGTTAAAATTTCCTTTAAGCAACATTTGCTGCACACATGGTGCAGTGCTTCCCCTGCCTTGATTTTTTTTTTCTATAAAAAAGGATTTATTTTCAACTTCCCATTCCTCCAAAATTATCTGAAAGGGACCAGAAGACTTTATTCCAATGGGATTGTTAAAGTAGAGTAAGTGTAGAATTTGCATATTGTTAAAAAAAAATTAATATGCTGTTAGTACTCCTAAGGGACAATTTTATGTGAAACTTTTAAGTTTTGAATGTAGCAGAGGTCAGTACAGTAGCTGTGATATGTATTAGTTGAATAGTCAGACTTCCTAAGCAAAATGTTTTGCTCTGCTATATTGTATGCTGTGACTGTCACAGCTCTTTAGATTCCCTCTGAAATACATTAATTTGTTAATAAGAATGTGTTTAGATTGACTTATTGCAGAGTCCTGTTCATTCTGAAGTTTGCTGAAAAATATTTTTTACCTTCTTTATTCCTTCCTAATTTTACATAAGGAAACCCATATTTTGAAATATTTAAACACTTTGTTCTGAAATGCTTAACTTTAGTCCTGCAAAATAGTGTTCAGAAGTAAAGGGGGAAAATAAAGGAAATGTTCTGTGAAAGCATAACAAAAGGAGAAAATGTAACAGTGCACTTTCATACTGAGATAAATAATAGTGGATTACAGTACATAGCTTAAAAAAAAAAAAAAAGAATAAGAGGAAAACATCTGATGTCACTATGCATTACATTTCTTTCCAGATAATTCCTGCAAAAGCTTTTGTAAAATGCTAATTAACTAGTTTTCCAATGTCAGTTCTATGCAAAAGAAATGGGTTATGCTGTCTGTCTAACCTCAAGTTTTAAATTATATTAATTATTATGTATACAATTTTTTTTCCACAGGAATGGATTTTCCTAAGTACAGAATTGCCTTTACTTATGAATAACTATATTTATTTAATATATAATTTAATTATATATAATTATAATATACAATAATATAATATATACAATTGGTTAATATTATAATTATAATATTAATCAATTTAATATTATATATATATAATATATCTAATATTAAATTGATAGATTACTGAGCTTGGATTTAAACTCTAGGAAATTTTAGGAAAACAGTTCAAATCCTAACTTCAGATGAACATCAGAAAAAAATCTCAGAATTGTAGTCTCCACCTGTGCTTTTCACAGTACCCAGAACTTTTCTTTGAGTGGCTATAGGCATATGTGTACATTTGCACAGAGCATTTCTTGTGTATTTGAGAAGCTGAAATGGGAAATATGTTTTATGTAATTGTATCCTCAAGACAGTGGTCATGTGTCCTCTTGTGCATTTGTGTGGTAGAAATGTTCAAATATGTTCCAGGCTCTTTATTCCTTTTGGGTGTCTGAGTCAAAATGTGTTTTTTTTTTTTTTTGTTTTGTTTGGTATTTTTTTAACTAGGCATCATCTGTGTCTATTTGCCTGACTTAATACTGGTATTATTTTCAGTTTTTGTTTCATCTCTCCTTAAAGTAGTTCTAATTTTCAGACTAGGTAATTTTCTAGTGTTTAGAAAAATGCTTTTTTACAGCTGATTTTTTACACCAGCTAAATTCAAATGTGTTTGGATACATTCTTTTCTATGATTTGTACTTTTTGTCAGAAGAGCATTTTCAGGAAAGGTTTGCAGTGTGTTTAAACTTCACTAAAATAGGAAAACTAAAATATTAAACTAAAATAGGAAGAGCTCCAGGAGTTTAATACAGACATTTCTTACCCTTTTGTTGACCTGCTGTACTGCAGTTGATAGAAGTGAGCCTGGAACGGGGTCTGGTCATGTCCTCCAGAAAAATGTGTAACTGGCTGTCAGTGGATGAGTCAGGTGGGAGATGCACAGTTCCCCGAAGCAGGTCATACATAACTTCTTTGTTCTAGCTCACTGTTTGGTATTTGTTACTCCTATTAAAACAAACAAAATCCAGAAAACCAACCAAGGAAGGCTTAATACATAATCGCTTCTTCAAAGGCCTCTAATGAGTTTCAGTTTTTCTAGCAACAAAGGCTGTACCTATAGGTAGATTCAGACTTCAAAGATGGATAGATTTATTCAAACAGGAGACTGCTCTTTTTGCTGGGGTGTTGTGGAGCATGTTGTGCGTTCATATGAAAGAAATTCCTACTACCAGACACAAGGCTGAGTTCTCCCATATAAACATGAAATGTTTTTCCTTCATCCATGGTTTTTTCTGCAAATGGCATTTGAAGCTGGCAGCATAATTGTGTCATTAGCTTCAAATGAGTTGCAAATCAGAGGCAGTCTTGTTGCTGCTTTCCTCCCCCTTCTCAGCATTTTTGAGACAGGTAATCCTGATTCCAAACTTTATGAGGTTGGAAAACCTCTTTCTAAAGAATACTGATTACTATTACAGAAGGTTACAACATCTGTTTTTGTTTGTTCTTTGTCCTTCATCTGTATTTACATTAGTTTCTGAGAATCTTTGGTAAGTACCTTCTTTTGTAAGAATCAGTTTTATTTTAATGTTTTTAGTGAGGAGCACTGGCTGTTGTGGATGGGCTTTATTTGACACTTTGTTCTGTGGTGTAGACATCCACAGCTGAGAAGTATTGTAATATCCCTTTATAAGCAGTGGGCAGTATAATAATCCTCAGACCTTGAATGAATGGATCTCTGTTATGTCTACAAGTGCTGTTTTCTTTCCATTTACCTTAAAAGGTTCTAAGCCACAGTTTTAGGTGTGGATATTTGTTTATACAGCAGGTATCTAACACTGAGCTTAATTTCTCTTGGTCCAGAGAAAATGGTTTTCACTTACCAGCTGTTTGCTGTATTGACAAGGAATTAAGGGAGGAGCTCTGTCTGGGACTTGAACTGAATGCTTGTATGCCCAAGTCTAAATTCAAAGTGATGACATTTTCTTTAGCTGTATCACTGTGTCAACGTAGTGGTTGAGAAATGTGTTCAGATGTTCAGAATGCTTATTTAGAAACCATGCTTCATACCAGCAGCTTATGGATCAAAAGTGTTAGCAGCAGAATATTTTATTACTCTCCTGCTTCATCTAGGGCATGGTGATCCTGGGTCTGAGAAGTGATAAACTTTTTCTCTTCACAGTTGTCTTAGTAAAGGCCCACTCCCCCAGTCAGATGCAGAATATTCAAAAATACTCCTTACTACCAGACTTTTTCAGTTCGTGCTGCTAAAGGTTTTAGAATTTGAGTGTCACAAATGGACTACTTCTGTTCTGCTGAGTCTCTGCAACCAGTACTATTTCACATGTTAGGTCATACAGCTGCTAGCATTTTTTTTGGGCTTGGATAGGGGATGAGGTGTATTATGGCTGCTTCTGAGAGTTCCTTGGAAGGTTCTGATTTTGCTGATCTGAAGAGTCATTGAATGTCTCCATGTCTGTACATTTTCAGTCCCTGAGCATTTTGCTTTTTTTCAGAGCCAATAGATTTCGTGTGCAGCTTCAGCAGCTTTCCCTCACTTGAGGTTCTGATTCTCAGTGGAATGTTACCCTATTATTTATTTTTAGGGGGCTTTAAACCTGTCCCTAAAATTTTCTAATGGAGGAGATTCTCCAGAATGAGAATGAATAAATAAGTGCATCAATAATTATATTTCATGGAGTCATGGAATCACAGAATGGTTAAGATTTGGTACAGCCTTAGAGATCAGCTAGTTCCAACTCTCCTGCCATGTAGGACAAGAAAATAATGCTAAATAGCCAAAAAAGTTTATTTCAGTGATGGTGATTAGGGCAAGAATGATAATGTTAAAAACAGGATACAGAAAAAGGCTCCAAACTGAGAGGGCTAAAGAACCTTTATTGTTTTTGTTGAATGTAGCAAATCAGTCTGTTGCTTTATTTCAGGTAATAGTGTGTACACTAGGAAGAAAAAGTAAGTTACTGACTTTGCTATGGTTTTTGTAAAGCATTCTTATTGGTGGTGGATTATATTGTCACAGAGGAATTTATGTTCCAAACAAATGTCCTTTAGTTTGCCCCATTGAATGCCTGTCTCCTCCCCAGTTAAAAGGTAAGGCATTGAAAAATAGCAGAATCACTTAATGAGCTCTGTCAGCAAAATACAGTATATGTGGGCTTGTTTGTATTTTGATGTATGAATATTGTTGATGTGTTTTTTGGGTCACTAGCCATATGTCATTTAGTGATGCACTGTAAGCTTTGTAAATAAGGGATTTTGGAACATTTCATTTCTGTACAGATGTTTTCTGTGTTCTTAGTATCTGCACAATTTAGAGTAGCTCTTATTTTGGTGGGATCACATGGAATTGCTTTTATTGAATATCTTAATACCAAGAGATAATTAGATAAAAATATATGATTTTTTTATTTACATCATGTTCTGGAGGGAGATATGAAGTAAAGTCATGTAATGAGTTTCTTTAAGTTTCAGTTTCAGTGTAAGTAGAATCTCTTAGAAGAAGATATCTGATAGGCACATAGTTCCAACCTTACAAACTAACTGCTTGTACTCTAATATTCTGTGACTAAGTTTTAAAATTGTTATTTTTACGTGCTAAAGTAATTATTTTCCTTCTTTTATTTTAAACAGGACCAAGCGAGCTCACGTCCCACTAACAGAATGCATTTTCGAGCTCCCTAATTTGACAGTTCAAGCAACTAGAGCTCAAACCCTTCTGCTTCAAACTATTTATCAGAGCTGGTGTCATCCTGTTGGCAATGTCAGTTCAGTGATAGTAAATGAAGCTTTACTGAATGAGGTTTTCCAAACTTCAGGTAAATATGTGATGCTTTTGGTTAAGTATTGTACAGAGCACAGATACTGAGTGTCCATACAACTGTATGCTGTAAATCCAGGTTTTTGCTTATGGTAGTTAACAGACAGAATGTTTTTTTTTGTGTGTATATGGGTATTTATAGCTTATATTTCAAATCCAGGATGTAAGCTAAGCCACTCAGCTTCACTCCTTGGCACCAATTTCTGGATGCATTTAATTTTCCCATACAGGATAATTTTTCCATGCTTCCCTCATCTGGAATATCCACTTTTGCTACCTTATATGGTACAATGTTATTACTTCAGGATCATTCAGGGGTGAAACTGGATTATTAAGGGCTTTATTAATCAATGGCATACATTGAATTCTTTAGAAGGGCTGCAGATGTTTCTCATTATTTGGTAAATAAATGTTACTTAACTGTTGTGAAATTGCTGAAGATATGCAAGTGTTGGTGATGATTGCATAAATAATGAAACTTGTTATCTGTCATCCTTTTGTGGAACACCCATAGATTTTGGGAATAAATTTTGAATCTGTAAACTGGATTTTGACCAGTTTACAGAGGAAACAAGAGTTTTCAAGTGCATAAAGGTCATCCAGAAAATGATTTTTTTTTTCTTTTTTTAAGATTTCTATGCAGCTAGAATAATTTAGAGCTGGTATGGTTTATTTGTTGTGAATAAACCCATAACATGAATAACAGATATTTTGGAATATTCAATATTGCCAGTCTTGGAGAATGTGTTAATAGAATGATTTAGGTGCAGAAAATCATGATTTAAAGCAGAGTGGTGGATTAGACCACTGGAAGTCTTTCAGCCCTGCTTTTCTTGATCCTTTCCATTCTTGTTTTTCATTCCTACTGTTTATTGAAGTTAAGTCTGTGTTGATATAATGTTGCAGAAGAACTGTTGTATTTTTGTGTAACCCTTGGAATAACTGTTTAAAGTGCTTATGTTTTCCTTCTTTCATGAAAGTCACTTTTGTCTTCCTTCATTCTGTGTGGATCACCTAAGAATGGGATTGTGATATTTTATTTTCAAGTCCTGGTACTTGTGAATGTAGCAGGCTTACAATCCATACCACGGAGAAATCTGAAAATACAGTTGTTTGATCACTTCAAATGCTCTTTGGGTTAGCACAGTCTCAAACTAACCTATTCTATTATTCAACATGTTTCAGTTCATCAAGTCAATGAACTGTGAAACATCTCCTTTAAAAGTATCTTTGCAGAATAGAAATCTGGAGCACACATTTTAAGTACTTCAAATAAAGTAAATGAACAATATAATGCACTTATTTTGATCTTCTCTTGTTCATGGCTTAACGCTTCACCTGGTAAATTTTACACTTCTGTAATAGTGCTTGGTGTTAACTAGACTGAAAGCAGCTTTGCTTTCAAGGCTATGAAATGATTGCTGTCAATTCTTTTGTCCGAATTTTTGGCTTGGTTGATTCTGTAAGCCTACTTACTACCTTTTGTTTGGATACTGTTGTGTAAAATAGAATATCATGCCTTGTTAAAAGTCATTCTTGTAATTAGGATCAGCTTCCACATACTTTAACATGTTTGTATGTAAGCCTGTAAAGTAGACTTGACTGTATTTGACCTTATTCTGAAAAGAAAGGAAGGGCTTATATGTTCTGTCTTTTGTTTGTAATGGTCTGCTGTTATCCCACGGTTTCCAGCAAATCTGACTGCTATAGTCAGATTGCAGGATTTTATATGTTCTTGACACTCAGTGTAGCATCATGCTTATTTTTTAATTTGTGAATGAAATCTGTGCTCCTATGGGAATGGTCTAGTTACTAGCTACCCATCCAGATCTTTCAATTTTGAAATATCCTGTGACTTGAAATTTTTCTTCTCTATGTAGCTCCTGATAGACAGCTAGTCTTGAATGTGTTTGCCATTTGTTTACATGCCTACAGCTTTCTCAACTGCTTGTGTCTGTATTGCCACTTTTTGTGTGTGATTGAGGAGTATTATTGGACTGAAACAGTTGTTGCTGAGCTCTTTGTCTTCATTGGGGATTTGTTCCAGGTGCTGTTGAGAGTGTTGGGCTTCTTTAATGCATCAGTTCAGTATTACTTGAACTCAAAAGTGATACCACAAACCTTTGAAACCCCTCAGCCAAGATCTTTTTTAGCAGCCATTGTGATAAAAGGCATAGTTATAAAAGGCATAGTTATATGCCTTTTCCAACACAGCCATCTCTTCCAGTTTCAGAACTTTATCACTGAAATTTATAATATGGACTTAAAATACAGGCTAAAATGTTCTATAGGAGAGGAACAGATAAATTAGGGGAAAATAGAACTGAAAAATGGAAAGTAAGGAAAACAGGAGAAAGAGGATCACCTACTAAAAAGAGAATGTCAGAAGAATATAAAAAAAGAAGCAGGTAGAAAGAGTTTAAGTAGAAAAGCAAAAGATAAGAATACCAAAAATTAACAGGAAGACAAGTACAGATACATGTGTTGCTGGAGAGGGGAAACCTCAGTGAGGAGCACATGACTGTTGGTCCTTTCACCTGCTGTGGAGAGGCTCACAAGGTACAAAGGGCCCTTTGGGAACCTGTTTGCTAGGTAATAGCTGAAAGACCTACTACGGATCTAGTTTAAAATGGGAGCTCTGCACTGTGTGTTTCCACAAACATATGAACAGAGTTTATTGCTAGTATCTGGGGTTCTGTCCTAAATTTTCACCTGGAGCAGAAATGCTACCCTGCTCCAAAACTTCTTTCAAATGTAATTGAGGCTGAAGTTGGTCTAGGGATTCAAAACAAACTCTCTGAGCTGTATCCTCTACAAATTCTTTTTGGTAATAGATTAATGGAATACCAGGAAGGGAAGATTTCTTGAAGATTAACACTTCTGCCCCCATCTACCTTCTTCCCCTTGTTCTTCAGAAACCTGTTCCTACTAAGAGAAAGACTCTTTACTCAAATATTCCCTAGTTTGTTATTAGACTGCTGTCTTCATTAGATCATAGGAGAGTTTATTTTATAATTAACTTGCCCAAAGGCAAGCTGTCTAAAAAAAAATAAAATTTGAAGTCTCAAAAGCAAGTTGTGTGTATTTGGTTTCTGGCAGAATTTAAAAATTAAGTTCCTGTACTACCTTAAATTTCTATTTGTCATACATATTAGGAAGGTCTCTTATCTTAAAACTTTCTGTAAAAGATGTGTACAGTACTGTGATTGACTGAGCTCAGAACTTGTGGAGGACGAATAAAATGAGCATGTCAAGAAAGATGTATGATTTTTACTCTAGAAATATTTTATTAACATGTTTAAATATCATGTCTGTCTTAGCTTGAGATGATTTAATTCTGCTAAAAGAAGGTTCTTAATTATAAATTATTTGGAATTTAATGAAACTTCTGAAAGCACTTAACTCCTTTCATTGCAATTACACCTTTTGTAATCCATGTCTTTGAATGTCTAGCTGGGAAAAGTTCTTTTTAGGTTTCTTAGAAGTCAAGACAGATTTAAAAAAAAGAGATAATATAGACAGTTAAACTTACTACTTGAATGGGTAGGCATTATGATTTAAGTACAAGATTGATGCATACCGCCTGAAACAATTGTGCAAGGACATAAGGAATAGAAAACTTAAAATAATTGTAAATACAAGTGACAAAATGCAGCATTACAAACAGAAAGTAAAACAGCTACAAACAGCTTTTTGCTCTTTTTCATGGGTAAGGAGAAGCATTGCTAACTTTTTTATGCATTAAATCTAAAATAAAAAAATAGCACAAAAGCAGTCTTCAGTCCACATGTAACTCTTTGGAAATTTATGTTTTGGTTTGCTTTTATAATTCTTTTGGTATGCAAGCACAACAGCATGTTACTTGTCAGTTAAATCATGTGAGTTCTTAGGCTTGTGAAACAACCCAATTCTGCATTTCAGTCACTATAGATGTGGAAACAAATATGAATTTGAAATACATCATGCTTCCTACATTATTGCATGTATGAATGTTAATATTATTACAGTTATTATTATACTATTTAAAAAAAGAAAAGTATATGTACAAAATACCAAAATATTGTGAAAACTACATTAGTTAAGATCTTTCAAAGGCTGAGCATGATTAATCCTATAGAGTAATTTTACTTTGTATTTTTTCCATTATTTGTTAGTAAGTACCTGAAGCACTCTGTTTCTAACCATTTCAGCCTGCCAAGAAAATACATACAGAGTCACACATGGCTTTAGTTTACTCTGGAAAACTGGAACTTGCTACCACTTTTTCCTTGTCCTGTTCAGGTAGTTCATTATTTTGTTGACAGTTCGGTTCCATTAATCTGGTATTTTTGGGAAAATTGCTTGCAGACCTTACATTTCTCTACTGAAGGTGATCAAATAGGCATTGAATCCCTCATGTAAATGATGTCTTAAAGTTAAAATAAAATCTATTTTCCAGAAAGTAACTGTAAAACTATTTTATGCAAGATTTCATGTGGGATACCTTAATGGTTGAATAATAAATTTTACCTCATAAAAATGAAATTCAATAATACAGTAGCTTTCTCAGCGCAGTAGCATCTGGTTGAATCTCATGAGAGCCAATATTTTCCAACTCATTAGGATCATGTCGTTCTGTATGTCGTCAACATTGACTTAGCCAAGCTACCTTTACTTACATAACCGCCAAACTATTAAATAGGTCTCTTGTGGAGTGAAGTCAAATATTCCTCTTATTTTGCTTTTGCCTTGGAAGAAGAGAAGAAAATGTACATACTGTAACATTTAAACATCTGGTCTAAACCACATCAGGGTAACAGTGAGGAAAGTAACAGGATTCAGTATTCTTCCCAGGTGTACATATAAAAAAGGGTTGTGGAGCTGCTGCATAGTTCTTTTAACCACTTAGGAAAAAGACTAAAATAAGTGACTTGCCTTTCTAATACCCCTGTTTTTAAAACAACTTTTTTCCTCTTGCCTACTCCCTTGCCACCAAACTCCAAAACACAAAAGCCCAAC